CACCATTTTCATAATCACCATCATCACCATCATCATCACTATTATTATCATCACCATCTTCACCACCATTTTCATAATCACCATCATCACCATCACCATTGTCATCATCATCACCACCATCACTGTTGCCACCACCATTTTCATGATCAACATCATCACCACCACCATCACCAACCCACCACCTCACCACCGCCATCATCACCACTATCGTTGCCGTATACCCCCAGTACTAATTAAAGCTCAGAGAAGAGATTAATGCTATCCACATCTGAGGTAGGGCTGAGCGTGCGTTAGCTGTGCTTACTCAGGTTCAATCTCTCCCCTTTGTCCTTCCCTCCACGGAGAACTCACTGAGCAGTCCAGATTGGATCTCATCGAGTATCTGGTTTGTTGTAATGTGGAAAACCCATTTGACACCTCCCAAAAGCTTACTTTCTCCAAGGAAAGCTGCCATCTTTCTTCCCAAGAGGTGGCCTTTATGTACTATGAATGTGTAGTAGAAGAAGTTCAGCTCTTAGAGACAATGAGAAAGTACATTATAAATTTTTTGCACTCCATAGGCAAAAGTTCCCACACAAATCCCTATGTTATTTATTACCCAGCTCCTGGGAGAGAAGGAAGGGAAATTCCATTCTACAACTTCTAAAACTTAAATGGAAACTCTTTTTGAAAGCATCTAATATTAATTTCAGTCATCATATGTGTGTAAATGATGAGCTATGCTATTTTATATGTAATTAACACAAAGTGGTTAACTATTTCCATATTATAATATAATCCAGAAAATATACAGAATTTTTCAAGGAAAAATACCAAATTTAAGCTTCCTCTTGCTCACACGAGTTCCCCAAATGACTGTGGAGTATGGGGTCTGGGTGGGAGGGTGTTGTAGACTCTGGAAAGGAAAGAACACAGACCCCATGAGGGAGCCACAGGGACCCACTCAAGGGCTACCTTTGGGGGCCTTGTGTACACCCTGGGCAGCCGGAGGAATGAAGAAGATCCGAGGTTTCTACCCTGCCCTTCCACACTCGCAATCCCCAGGAATCCTCACAGTCTGGGAGGTAGGCACCATAACCCCCCTCCTTCCAGAGGAGGTTCCACATCATGGCAACTTTAGGTGACTCACCCGAGGTTACACAGCCAGGATCTAGACGAAGGCGGGCCCCACTCATCACCTTCTGTAGGGCCTGCAAGCTCAGCACAAACCAAGTGTCAGGGGGCTCTGTGGCACTGGCCCAGCCACACACAGTCCTGGGCTGCCCTGGGGCTTAGCTGCAGGGTGGTCAGCCCGAGTCTGAGATATTTACCCTCTGGCCATGGCCAGGAGGTCAGCCAATCCCAGGCTAGACAGTGCTGCTCTGTGGCCAGCACTTCACCACATGCTATTGCAGTGAGGGGACCCCCACACCCCACTTCCTGGTACAGCCCCCAGCTATGGCACCAGCTCCCTCTGACTTGGTCTTTGCCGCTCTCTCCCCTCCCGCCCCCTCCTCTGGGGCCCTGCAGGTGCCCCTCACTGCCCCTCTTCTTTCCTAGTGAGCAGCAGCAAACACATCATCCGGAAGTTCCGTGGGCATCTGCGCACCAAGATTGAGTCTGGGGAAGGGACGGTCCCCGTGCGGGGCCCCAGTGCAGTCCAGACCTGGGACGGCGTCCTGCTAGGCGAGCCACTGGTTACCATGTCCTGCACGGACAAGATCGCCAGGTAACAGCTCTCGTGGTTTCCCCTTGCAAAGGCAGTGGTGGTCAACGGTGGAGGTGGCAAGGCCGTTCCTTCAGGGTAACAAGGCCACAGGCTCTGACATGCCCATCCCAATCCTGGGTGAGATCAGAGGAGCAGGGACCTGGTGCCATCCTTGGGTCAGGGGCCTCGTTCATAGCCCTCTTTTCAATTGCCACTTTCAAATTTTATTTTCATACGCTCAAGGCAGAGTGCCTCCTGAGGACCAGCACCCTGCAATCTCAGCTTGCCACTCACACACAAGCCCGGCTTGGGCCTTGTGGATGGACAGAGGATGGACAGAGATACTAAAGGCCCCCCGACCACCCACCTTCCACCAAACCCTGACAGAAGTCCTGGGAAAGACTCCAGGCCTCACTGTCAGCCGGGTGCACCTCCACGCAGAGGGGTCTTGGAGAGGGCAGTGTTAGCCACACTGCCCCACATTCCCCAACACTGAAGCCCATGGGGCACAGGCCATGCCACACTTAGGACTAGCAAATACCTGAGTATGCCTTTAACAGCCCCGAGCGCCTGCCATGGCCTTGCCCTGCAGAGCAGAGCCCCAGACTCAGGGATGAGGGAGGCCACATGTACATGTGATGGGGGGGTCAGGCCAGGTGAGGGGCAGCACACTTGCCCACCTGAGAGGTCCCACCTGCCTGCCTGCGTGTCCCCACCTGCCCTCCCATGTACCCCCACTGACCTCCCAAGCACCCCACTTGACCTCCCAGGAACCCCCACCTGCCCACCCTGTACCCCTACCTGCCCTCCTGGGCTCTGCACCTGCCTACCAGTGGCCCAGGGCTCTCTCCCTTCCTCTGTGCTCAGGTCTGCAGGGTGGCCTCTAGAGGCTCCAAGGCTGCAGGGCAGATGAAACAGCAGAGCATGATTCCAAATCCTCAGGGGAAATTACTGAGTGGCTACAGGAAAAATAGCGCCATTTGCATCCCACTTGACTGCTCCTGGTTGGTGCAGAGCAGGCATCGGCCTAATGACGGAAATCAGAGCCCGTCTTTGCCTCCGTTACCCAATGGCTCATCTTTCAGAAGAAAATGCGTTCCTCCTTTGTATGTTTTCATCGATTCATGGCAGAGAAAAAGCAGCAATTTTCACCTTAACTGAAACTCTAGGTGCCCTAGGACAGCACTGGGCTTTAAATTAATTCTCTGGCTCCCTAGAAAAATGAAGTGAATTAGTGCTGTGGAATCAACATGTGGCCATCTCTGAGCTCCTGAACGTCCCAGACAGCGGATTAAACATGGACCACAAACCCACAGCAGTCGTACACGTCCCCTCCACCATCCAGGACCCGGGAGGATCCTGTACTCTTCTGGAAACGAGAGGGGAGGGTTTAGGGAAACTGCGCAGCCCTGTCTCTGGACACTGGGTGAGAAGCTGGACCATCCAGGACCAAGCCAGACGGCTGGGTGGGCGGAACCCCAGAGTCATGTTTCCTCTTCCCACACAGGGGGTTTTCACTCCCAAGTGAGGTGTAGGGCAGGGGACACACGGCGGGGTGGGGGTGCGGGGACGCAGCCCAGCCCACAGTGCCCTCCTGCCCCTGCTGCCTTTCTGTTTGTCTTCTGCTCTCCCTTCCCATCGTTCCTTCTCTCTGTGTCTCTGGGTCGGTCTCTCTCTCCCTGTCTCTCTCCCTCCGTCCCACCCCTCGCCTCCTCCCTGGCTGCAGTCATCCCATCTCTGTTCCACCCACCCTTCCTCAGCTGACGAGCTCACCACCGTCCACCTTTCTGGTCTTTCCCAATGTCTGTCCTCTGGGGTCCTGCCCTGTCTCCCAGCCCCAGCTCTTGTGCCCAGTACGGTGTGCTCCTGCATCTGAGCTCTGCCCTCCAAGGGCTGGCCTGGCTCCCACCCAGCAAAGTGCCCAGTGAAGTGGGGGCCACGGTGGCTCCTCATTGGCAAGAGTGCTGCCTGCTCCAAGCAGTCCTGTCCAGCCATAGGTGCAGTGACATGAGGATACACCCTTGGCATGAAGTACTTGTGGCCCTGAGCATCAGGCAGGGATGCTGACATCAAGGTGCGGCTGTTTGCAATGGAGCTGCGTTCACCATTGCGGAGGGCAGCATGCATGGTGCTAACCACTCACAACCATGAGTGTCTGTAACACACATTATTTGTACAAAGTCTTCTCAAGGAGACCATCTGATAACGTGCATGTTCAACTGTTTTCTATTCTATACAAAAATAAAAACTAAAAGTAGGGCTTAAATAACATTCAAAACCTGGGACCCTCCATAACAAACACAGGTGAGGCTTTGTGGTTGCCCTCTCTGTGGAGAGTAGGGTCCAGGACACAGAGGGCAGCCTCCAATCCACAGATGATGGCCAGCACATCTGCTCACAGAAAACCCACTTAGGATGCACTGTGCCCAGGCAGGTGTCTGGGCAGGTTCCCCAGAGCTGATTATTAACTTTGCAGCAATTTTGAAAACTAAATGTTGGGGGCGGCACCTGTGGCTCTAAGGAATAGGGCGCCAGCCCCATATGCCAGAGGTGGCGGGTTAAAATCCTAGCCCAGGCCAAAAACTGCAAAAAAAAAAAAAAAAAGAAAGAAAGAAAACTAAATGTTAAACACAGTCATTACTAAAAATAAATTACATTAATTTACAACTAAATAAGTTATGTTAAAACAAAGGTTAAAAAGCACTAGAAACTCATCATTGGTTTTAGAGAAGTTCTGTGCCCAACGGGACCTGCTGATTCTCTTTCCAAAAGAACAACAGTCTTACCCGAGGACACTGAAGCCCACACTCAGATGTATTCAGTAGTTTAGAAATTCCTCTAATAGAAATTCCTCTTAATAGATGTGCTTTATCTGAGTGGCCATAAAGGCCACTCAGCTGACTTTTCCATCCCCTAATTCATATAGCTTCTACCTATTAAAACGAAAATAAATGAATAAAATTGCATCTTAGATAAGGTAGAGAAGGTGTATCCACCGAACAAATCTGTAATTCTCTTTGCAAGTTCCCCTCAATGGCAGTGAAGAATGATCAGGGCCAGCTGGATCAAAAGATCTCTGCATAATCTGCAGTCGTGTGTTTCCCACAGAGATCAGAAGTGCCACACAGGCGCTGGCTCCCATCAGCGAGGCCTGAGTGAAAGCATCCTCTGCATAATTTAATGTCACGAGGTTTTGCTATTAGTCTATAGAAAAATATGGGAACATGTTATAGAAAGCTTATAGAAAGAAATGTTTACAGTGGTTTAAAATGAGTCATGAAGCATCATGGAGAAAACTCTTCTCATATCCCCTGCTTGTCGAGTTTGAACTTCACTGGGGGCAGTGGGAAGACGACAGGTGGTGGTGTCCATGGTGGAGTATGTGGCAGTGTACGGCTCGTACCCTGGGGCTGGTGTCCGTGGTGGTGTTCATGGCAGGGAACACAATGGTGCTTGCAGTGGTATCCAGAGTGGTGTCTGTGGTGGCCTCTGTGGTGGCGTCTGTGGTGGCGTCTGTGGTGGCGTCTGTGGTGGC